CAAGCTATTACAAACTTCATCTTCACAATGTCAAGCTATTACGAACTTCATCTTCACAATGTCAAGCTATTACGAACTTCATCTTCACAATGTCAAGCTATTACAAACTTCATCTTCACAATGTCAAGCTATTACGAACTTCATCTTCACAATGTCAAGCTATTACGAACTTCATCTTCACAATGTCAAGCTATTACGAACTTCATCTTCACAATGTCAAGCTATTACAAACTTCATCTTTACAATATCAAGCTATTACAAACTTCATCTTCACAATGTCAAGCTATTACGAACTTCGTCTTCTACCCTGACTTCAATAGTCACCTTTCTTGTATCACATTTTCACAGTGTCAAGCTATTCATACTTATACCTTGACTGCAACAGCCACTATTAGTCTTGTATCACATTTTCACAATGTCAAGCTATTACGAACTTCGTTTTATACCTTGACTACAATAGCCATTATTCTTGTATCACATCTTCACAATCTCAAGCTATTACGAACTTCGTTTTATACCTTGACTACAAGTATAATAGCCATTATTCTTGTATCTTTGTCAAGGCCTGTAGTTGGCTGTTTTCACAAGAGTACAATCCAATCAAATCGCTTCATTTACAAACTTCCATGATACAATAAATGTACGAAGTTGTGAAGATAAGTCGGTGGTTGCTCCAAGACTCTGACGTCGAAAAGAGTCCCTTTACCCTTAAATCGCTGTCAAAAGCAAGAGAGGTCGAAATGACTTAAGAGTAGAAGAGTTAGTAAAACGTGATATTATTTAAGTTACACTGACAATAATAAATCTTATAATCAACTTTAAATTTATATTTCTTATAACCTTTAATATTTACCTCACTGTAGCTCTTAATAATTTTATAGTCGTTTGGATGGGACAATAAACCAGGCCCCGTGTGCTACAGGCTGTGCACGTTAAAGATCCCTCGACAGTTGGTAATCGGAAAAGAGCAGGCTAATGCCGCTGTCTTGGCAAAATTTCCCTCATTGTGCCCTGCATGGCGTAGGACGTAAAACTCCATTCATTTCATTTAATTTCTTACTAATTCTATATTTTCTAATGAAATAACAATCGTTAATAAATTTCTCTCTATGCACCTACTGTTATAGTGTCGGATTTGAAACCACAGTAAGAATCAAGTGAAAATATCATCATACACGCAGTGAGAGGGTAACCCTAACTCTCTTAATGAACATGCTGTCAGGGTGTGGTCTGATGGACAATGGAAATATTTGGGTATTATAAAAGACTCTTCACGGACCCCGTCTTTAAACAAAACCCTTAATGATAATCTATACAGTTATAACGTACTACGGTTTCTACGCCTGATTGGGCTGATGGTCAACGCCATGCAGTGTGCAAATACGAATACATTCCTCGTCAGGGCTGTCGGTTTGGAAAAGGACAGAAATTTAGATAATAAACTCTTCAATTAAAATACCAGTAGAACTGGCTATTTGCGTGAATGGCGTTCCATATATACTTGCTTTATTCAATTTTTTCTCCGAAAAATCCGAATCTATAGACAATCATAGGGAAATAGAACCAGGTGTCCTGGCTGAGCTACGATTTACAAGTCTTCAGTTCAAATAACATACACTATATTTCTATACACCTGTACAATCACACCTTTAATTGCAATTTCTACAGGTGAGAGTAGATCAATATCGTCTGACTTATTCAGACTTATAAAACTCAAGAAAATTGAAATTTTAATGGCAATCGACCTAGTAGCATCTTTTGTGATATAATTTATTGTTAAAACGAATTGTGTGTACATTCCATTGCAAACACACCTATGTAGTTACACCTTAATAACAATTTATATACAGGTAAAGGGAATAGGAAATGAAATGAAATGGAGTTTTACGTCCTACTCTTCTGCACCTTGTGGGCTAATGAAGACGGGCAACGCCATGCAGGGTGCGATGAGGGACAGCGGCATTAGCTTGCTCTTTTTCGATTTCCAACTGTCAAGGGTAAAGGGAATAAGAATATCTAAATTATGAGATAAATTCAACATGAAGAAAATTAAAAAAAATTGACGACCTCTTAGTATCTTTTGTGATGTAATTATTTCAATGTGTTTTGTGAATAGACTTCAGAGATCATCGTTATACACCTGTTCTCTCACACCTTAATTACAATATATACAGGTGAGAATAGATCAATACGACCAGGTACAAGTTACTATAAGTTAAAAATATACACTTACCTTAACCAAATTTACCTGGCCTAAATATCCATTAACTTTACTCAACTTTTCGTTGGCTGTCAACACAATTACTTTAATATCGTACCTGGAGAAATATTATACCACGTGACAGGTCAGGGGTCATATAGAGACGGATTGTGTAATGTGCCTCGGAGACACAAAATCGACGTGCTATCCTGAGTACATTTCAAAATTTCTTACGTTGAAAAGTTTTCACTCAATTGCCTAATAGAATAGTATTTGGTGTTATTTTGTCCGATTCTTGACGCCAGTGCAATATTATCGAATGAGGGCAATAGGCGTTTCTCACCAGCCGTCCAATATCACTCAGGTTGGGCAAGATACTTTCCTCGTCTCGATTAATTCGGTCTCATGTTGTTACAATGCCTGAAGCGGAAAATGACCACAATGCCCGAGGCTATGTTTACCAACCAGGTAGATGTTTGTCCAGGCAGGTTTAATCGAGTTTATATCAATACAGTCTAGAACATAAAGTCTATTTTATCACATGCCCTTTGTTCCAAATTTGAAAGCAGGCCCGGAGCTGCAGGGGGGTAAGATTTTAAGCGTGATGACCACTTCCCCTTCCCAACATTTGTAGAAGTGACCCTATATTGGCATATTATTACGTACGGTGTTGTTTCAAACTTAAAGGAACTTCAAAAAACTTTGCTTCGGAATCACTGTTCACTTTTGTGAAAATAGTCCAAAATATTTAAGGAGTACTTTTTACTTCCCCTTTCCTACAATTGTGGAAGAGGTCCAAGATTGACATGTTTATTACGTACGGTGCTGTTACTAACTTGAAAGTTAGAGCTTCGAAAGACGTTGCTAGGGGGTCACTGTTCACTGTTGTGAAAAAGATGTGAAGCATTTTTATTGGTTGCTGATTACTTCCCTTTTCCTCCCTGATTGACATGTTTATCACGGACTAGTGTTCCACCCGAGGATATTCTGGGAAGGTAGATGACAAGTTAACGTTCGCTTCCAGCGGATGCTGATATCGCAAACTAGGGACATTCTACTTATCTTATATACCCAATCATCGAGGCCCAGAGGCTTTTAAGGGATTGGAAAAGAGGTTTCCACCCCCAAAAACGTGTATCGAGGATACTGATTTGCATCATTAAAATTTTCAATCAGACGTCTATGGTTCCTGCAGAATCCATTAAAACTGTTTGATGACGTCATTAATCGCAAATTATGCTTTATCAAATAAGATAAGTGTCCCCGAAACACATCATTTTGTTATAAAACCTCTTTACAATCCCTCTATCATATTATAGGATCCCAAAAGAAACAGGCCTTGGATTTAAGTTAAAAAAAATTTAATTAATCTAATAATCCTAAACGATATATTTACAAAATTTTAACACCAATTACTTTTGGTATACTTTTGGTATAATTGGAATGATAAGAAGAAATATTAGAAAGATAGGCCGGGTCATAGAATAATAATAATATACAGTACTGCAGTGGTCTGATAAATTGTCTCAAATAACTCATTCCAATTTTTATCTTAAGGTGCATTCAAACCATAGTGATCACCAGTTGCGTTTGGTTACGAATAATGAAAGTGGCTACCGAACGCAACTCATAACTCTGTTGCATGACAGTTGCGTTTGAAACTTATAACCGCTATAATTATTCGCAACAGACACTGATACTCGCTGTGGTGTGAGGGCACCTTAAGACAAGCATTCTTTATGACCTAGGCCAGTGCTTTCAGAGACTATGGTCTCCTCACCATATAAAACAAGCACGTTTTGTAAAATTCAATCAACGTCAATCCAAAAGGCCCCTTTAGGCCTATAATTCTGTGCAACTCCAGAAAGTATTTTAATACAGTTTTATAATACTTTAAATGGGGTTTGAAGGCCTTTCAATATCACAACGTCTGCAACTTTTCGACACCTAAAACTGAGTTTGGCCGAGTTTGTACACCAACACAACGTTTCAACAGTTTACATTTCCATTATAAAAGATTTAGCGGTGTATCACAACTGAATATAGGCTAGGTCCATAATAACGTTTCTACAATATACAATGTCATTGTAAAACTAGTAAGATATGCTCCCTATTACAAAGGGACCTACCGATATCTTTGCACACAACGTTTCTGCAATTTACAAGGACTGTTCGTTGTTGATGCAGTATTTATAGGCTAATACTGAAATAATCTCTATTTGAAATCTCTGACATTTGGCACATAAAATATCACTTTTAAGTCTTTGAAAACAAATTGCACAATTCAGTTCCCGCCACACAAATCCAACAGACTACAACCTAACTTGGTGTAACGTCATAACAGACGAAGCAGCAGAAATTGGCGGGCTATTTACAAACAATGTATATTCATACAACGACTGCAAAGAAAGGAAAAATTAAAGGCAAACTACTAATAAATACTTTTCATTAAAGAATTGTTCAAATTTGGCTTAATCTGACAGCAAATTGCAGCCAATTGACATGGATATTAGGACACATGGGCTAGATCCACCTACTGATGCATTTGGCGGTAAGGGAGGCATTCAAAAATTTTCTATGAAAACCCTTAAGAGGCTTCGAGGAATGCTTCCACAGAGCTGCTGTATGTTGCATCTTGACCTTGGCAGTTCCCCAATTGAGTCAGTCTGCCTCCTATTTGTACCGCCACTGGTGGGAGGAGAGGTTGCTGCCGAACACCCAATGTACGTCCATGGACTTAAATCACAAGGTATATGTGAGGGGGTTCGTCTGAAAACTAAGCCATCGCCCTAGGTCTAATTCAAACGGGAAGAGAAACGTATTGCCTACGCACCTGATATATCAAAGCATATTGCTCTTTGGTTTGAACAACTCCCGCTCGTTCTTTCCTCATCTTGCTGACACATTTTAAAACATCTACCAACTTCTCGGCATCATACTGTCTGGTACAGATGTCTACGGATAGCATGGTACCAGTTCTTCCTGTCCCTGGTCTACAAATTACAGACATAAAGTAATCAGAATCGGATATTTTAAGTTTCTTAAATGGATTGTAAAGAGGTTTTCTAAAAGAATTTAGGTGTATCACGGTCACTGGAAGCATCAATTTGCACCATTCAGTCTGACTTCTATGGTTCAGGGGTCACATGTTTTTCAGGAAGGGGGCGGCGGGTTGCCCTCCTTGTTCCCTTGTTGCTACGGGCCTGACTGCGAGTTTTTGTGAAAAAAGGTTTGGGGTAAACTTACCTACAATGTACTACAAGTGGACCGCCGCTATCCTCGGACAATCGTCGTATTTCTATCACAAATTTTACCAATGAAACAGGATCAGGAAGGGTTTTATTTGACCAGCTTGTATACCAGACATGTTTTATCTCTCGTATTAAATTATTCTGGAAATATACCATGGATGCAATCTTAAAATTTTACATTTTTGAACAAATTGCTGTAGCTACGGGCCTGATACAATTTTGGGTATAAAAAGTCCTCTTCTTTATTTTGCATTTTGTCGCAAACTTTGACGAATCATGGCCAAATCCTTATTATTTCCAAAATTTCATTGAAACATTTTATTCAATATTATTCAAATATCTTATGTTTATTTGATTATTCATTTATCGTGTCAAATCAGTTAGCCAAGAATTTACATGTAGTCTGTTCTGTTGGATTGTCAATAAAGGGGAGTAACTCCATATAAGAGATATAAAGATGGCGGCCTCCAGTAGATCAAAACATCATCAAAATCTGTGAACATTTAATATTTTCACTCAACAATAATGTAAGTCAAAACATCGAATTCAACATATTTTGAAAAGGAATGATACGTTGAATATATTTGATCTAAAATTAAGGACAAAGCAGAATGGAGGCAGATAAAACGTCGTCAAGATTGAAAAAGTCAAAGAAGAAAGCTGATAAAAATGAAAGTAGCAAAACTGAGGTTGAAGAATTAGACAGTTTAATAGATCCAAATCGCGTCAAAAAAGAAACCCTATCTGATGAAGAAGTGGAGCACACTTGGGGAAATCTTAAGCGTGTTTTGGACACAGAAACTCCCAGATCGGAGGATGCACAGACTTCAAAAAGAAATCGGACAGAAACTGACGTTTCAGAGAGAATAGGAATGCCAATGAATGCTCCAATCACTTGTGAAAATCCTCGGCCAGTGTCTGTGGTGCATAAAACAGAAATAAACCAATATCCTGTGTTTATTGTTCAGAAATTACAATCGGACGAGGCCCTTGGGACTGGATCACCTATCGTTAAAATTGTCAGTTCCGATTCTGTGGAAAAAACTCTCAAAATGTCTCCATCCTCCCTTAGCAGACCTAAAACCAGTCGAAGACCATTCGCTCGTAAAATACTTCCTGCTACTCTCAAAATGGATACAAATGACATGACGTCTGCTTCAGTGTCTGTGACAGAATACAAAGAAAAGAAGCAGAAAAAGGCTAAAATGCTTGTGAAACGTGTGTCATTAAAGAAAAAAAAAGAGGATCTAACAAAAAAACATCTGCAGCAACACTTTGACATTCCAGTAGCAGAAGATTCTCCTTGTTCTCTTGTTGCTTCTAATGATAGTGTTATTGAAACTTCTCCAGTAAGTTTGAACAATCCCAAAGCTGTCAGCACAGAGAACGTGGAAGTAGACCGTCCACGACCTGTGTTTTTGTTCCAAAATAAATCCTTTGCCAGAAACAAGAAGCAAATGTACAAGATGAAAAATCACCAGTCTTCAGTTAATCAAGACACTGCTCCACCATTTATGAACGAGGCAGCATTGACATCTGACCCTGAGTTTCAAAATGTTGTGAAATCCATAAAAAAAGAACCTGTAGAAATCCAATCAGAAATGTCCGAGCCTATATGGACTGGTACGGAAAGACAGAAAGATGGAGAACCTTGTCTTCAATATAAGAAAGGGTTTGAAACCAATAATGACAAAGATGTGAATTCTGATTCAGCAGAATTGCACTCTAAATTCAGTAAACAAGTTTTAAAATCAGGGGCAGCAACCCAGTTTCATCATTCCCATTCTCAACCAAAATCCATTTTTCCGAAACCTCTGAATATGAGTGTTGAACCATCTGTACCGGAAGATACATCGAAATCCAATTTGAATAATTCCTTAACGACTAATCCAGAGCATACTGTATCCACTTTTTCACCATCAAATGTTTCATCAGCAAGTTCAAAATCGATATACAATTTACCTCTTGGTTCTAAAGACATTGCACAATGTTTAAGAAATTCTGGAACAGACTCAACAAATAATATAGGCCCATCACTATCTCCTGCCCAAGGAACAGTTCTAGCTACACAATGCCAGTCTACAACTGGGATGAAATTGGTGACAATTCCACAAGAAACTATAACATCAATTGGAAAGAAGAGTGGGTCCAGAAATTTGAATTCTTCTTCACCCACATTGTTGCCAGTTCCTTCCCGACCTGCTGCAACAACTGAGCTAGTGTCTTCGCCATTGATTAGATCAACTCAACTGAACAACGTGATGTTTCCCAGAATTCCTAACAATGTTCCGGGTCTACGTTATCCAGCACCTTTTATCATTCCCCAACCCGCCTCCAATATTATTGGAGCACCAAATACAGCGAGTCCGAGTCAGCAAATTTTGAGTTCCGTTACAAACACTGGAGCAGCCATTTCTTCTCAGAACCTGTTAATTAATCCACCATCATTGCCTCAAGGTCCCGGAATTCTAAACAATTCCATGTTCGAGCAGTCTTTAGGTGGATACAGGCTCGGAAACATCATCATCAAGACACAGAATATCCCTTCTGGAACTCTGCCTCAGACTTCTGCTGTATCGAGCACTCTATCACCAGCAGTGAATTCAAGCCCAGTTCCTTCTGCTCAAAATCCAAACCAGATAATCCAAGGAACATCAATTCAGAGCATGCCGTCTCAAGTACCAACTTCAGTTGAGGCCTCTGGAACTATTCCTAGTGCAACTATCCAAGGAACTACTCCAACTGGAAATACAAGTTCTCCATTGTTTTCATATCACTTGCCACAAGTTCAGGGAATTAAACAAAACCAGATCCTTTGCTCTCCCTTGGTCAATTTTCCATTTTTCTCCCAACAACCAGGAACAATTGTGAATCCAGGATCAAATCAAGGACTGATTCAGAATCCTAAAATCCAAACATTTAACCAACAAGTGCCTGGAGCAGAACCACAATTGAGAGTCCAAGAAGCCAAACACCAAGTGCCTCAAGAAATTCCGAATTTGATAATTCCAGGCGCTAAGCAGAAAGTGCCTCAAGCATTTCCTAGTCCATCAGTTCAAGGAAGCAAGCTGATGCAGAGTTCTGCCGGGCCACAAATGATTGTAATTGGTCCAAATTTACCAAACCATAGCACCACACAAATCCAAAGCACAGGCTCTCCTCAACTTTCTTATTCTCAGATGCTGCAATTGCTAGGAAATATTCCAAACCCAGCACCAGTGCCAGGAATAAGTTTAACTCAGAGCAATCCACCAAATTCGAGTCTTCATTTGCAAACTCATTTGGTCTCATCTACTAGTGCCATTCCAAATTTAAACAAGCCCACTTCAGTTTCAAGTCAACCAGCTGTGCTCACAAGTGGAGCAGATGATCCAAAAGAAAATCAGAGTAGTTCTAAGGCTTTGTCTATAAGTGCAATTAATAGCCAGTCTCAAAATATAGGGAAGACTTCATCAGTAACAACTATTGCTAACAGGAAGAAGGATCAATCCATAGCTGATTCGGGCCTTCAGTCAAGTGAGTTCAAAGCCCAAGAAGTATCAGTTGATTGTGAAAAAGGTAAATCTGTTACAGTATCAGCTTCAGAGTCTTCTCCAGCTTCAGCTAGTCCAGTGGTTCCAGCTATACCTACCGCCAGCCTGAAAGAGATTCCACTGAAACTAGGATCTGAGATGAAACCGATACCCTCAGATATTCCAGGTCCTTTTAAAGCCTACGATCATGATGTACTGGTATGTTTCTTTACTTTTCTGTAACAAAGTTATAATATTTGAGACATTCTGACTTTTTTATCTTTTTCTAAACAAAAACTAGTCATTCTTCACCTGCCAAAATAAGTATATTGGTGCTTGGTGGAAAATCTATGTTGTTTATAGTAGACCCTAGTCATTGTCAGTGTGCTAACTGATTTCCAGGACGCTAGCTCACTAACCTGAGGGTTCAAGGTTCAATCCCAATAAACCGATATAGATACGATATAGATCCCTTAACATTTGGAAATCGAAAAAGAGCAGGCTCATTTCATTTCTAACTGTTTTCCATTTAAATTATAATAATTGTTCCATTTCATGTAGATAGTCCTATTTTGACCTGTTCCACATTTCAGATCCATGTAAAATACAAGTACAGACGATCCAGAAATAAAACACGTAGTATGTACATCCACGATCCAATATGGCGATCAATGATCAAGGGATACATTCGTAGAGAATTAAACTATCGACATTTAGCGAAGCAGCTTTATCAGATTCCAGAATTGGTGAAAGAACTTCATAAACTGTTTTTGAAACAAATTGAAACAGAGTGTGGTGTCATGTGTTCATCGAAAACTCAAACAATTCTACGCAAACTCGATCCCCCTGATTTAGAAACTTTGAAGATTGAAAGGGTATTGACAGAACTACAAACAGACGCTCCATTGTTACGCAGTGTTTTAGATGCTGTAAGAAGTGAGAAGTGTCCCGACCAAAATTTGGGAATTGTTGCCGCTCTTCTACTATACAGCCGAAGTACGTTTCTGTCTGCTGTACATCATGTGATCACTAAGATTTTGCATAAGAGTGGGGCAGATACAAAGGTATGATGTATTTTGAGGAAATTTTGGCATCAAAATCTATTTAAGCTTTTCTGCCATTTTGTCTAAATAAACTGAAAGGCATAAAAACATCATGTGAATGCATCAGATTTATATGATGGCAAGAATCTGCCTACTATCAAATTTATCATTGTGATTGTGGAAGGAATAACCTGTTAACTCCCTTGACAAATCTGTGGTCCCCTTACCTAATAAATCATAGAAAGGCTAGTGCTACTCCCTCTAAAATGACAGATTTACACATCCTTTATTCCAATTGAAAATCTTGATAAGAACTTAAAGGGACAGGTGCCCCATTTTGAGTCTTAAATATATGTTTATAGTCTTCAGAAGTACTAGAAATGTACGAACATTGCATAATTCCTTTAAAAATACTTCAAACGAGTCATCATTTTAACATTCAAACACAGATAATTCTAGACACCCGAATTTGAAGGCTTAAATTTCGACAGTGAGCTATGAAAGCTTTTACTGATTGGCTTGGCTAAAAAATTCCTGTTTCTGAGACTAAAATATGATTTGTCAAAAAGAATGGCCTACCTATCCCTTTAATTTACATCCACCATTTTGTTTTGTTTTTTCAGACTATAGATCTCCTGTCTTCTATGGGATTATGTTCGAAATCTACTTCGTACTTTAGTAACATCAAGCGATATAATGCTCGCAATAACATCGAGGAATGTCAGAACACTATTAACGATGCTCAACAATGTTCAGACGACAACTTGGATACTGCTATGGACGTAAGTGATGAAAATTTAAGTTCAGAAGAGGACTTTGATATCAAATCGAAACTAAAAGATAAAATTTTGAAGAAAATCAGTCCAGAAAACAAAAATTTGAAGAGAAAACGAGTGAAAAATACTTCTAAAATGAAGAACATACAATCGAATACATTGTCTAAAAAGTTCAAAATTTCTAGTCCACTCAAAGGTGCTAAAACGGCACGCAATTGTGATAACGATACTTTATTAATGTCTTCAAATTGTCAGGGAACTTCGTCAAAAACTGACAAATTCAAAACTGCTGAATCATGCAATGAGAGTGATGTCCCTTTGATCTCTGCTGCTAATGATAATAATAGTGCTATTAACTCTTTCTGTGATAATGTTGAGATTCATGATAGTTTTGAAATAGCCAGCGACTCGGATTTGAATGAAGCAACTGCCATTCCTTCCTCTTCTAAAGGTTGATCTTATATACAACGAAATTCATGTAAGGGAAGGTCATTGGCGTACAGAAACAGTGATTTTAAACGGTGTAAAGAGGTTTTCTAAATTTTTTATGTGTAGGGCCTATTGGAGGCAATGATAACATTAATTTTCACCATTCCATTTTTCAATCAGACGTCTGTGGTTCCTGCAATTTCACTAGAACTAAGTGTTTGATGACATCACTAATAGCAAAGGTCCTTATGTGATAAAGCATAATATGTGTGTATTAGTGATAAAACACTTAGTTTTAGTGGTATTTCAAGAACCACAGACGTCTGATAAAAAAAATTGGAATCGTGAAAATTGACAATTCTGTTAATACATCTGCTAGTACTCAGAAACAATTATGCCCTTATTAGGGTTTGTCTGACATTATGATAGAATTTGAATTTCCTGATGTTATGATTATTATGATGTATTTATTTAAAAATTTATTCGCTGATATCATTCTTAAATTGTATTTAGTACAGGTGGTTCGATAAACATAACACAATTCTTTAAGACATTAAGAGATTGTAAAGAGGTTTTCTACATTTCTTTTTGTGTATCGGGGACAATGATAGCATCAATTTGCAGTATTCCAATTTTCATTCTGACATCTGTGGTTCTTGCAATTCCACTAAAACTAACGTTGTTTTTTGACGTCACTAGAGAGGAACTGCATAGATATCAAGAGTTGCTCCTGGTAGCTCCCCTGAATGTCTCCAAAACACACAAAAAAAATTTAGAAAACCATTTACATTCATTTTAAAGGGGAATATTTTTTTGGAGGTTGATTTGAGTCTTAAAAATATGTTAATAGTCTTCAGAAGTACTAGAAATCTACGAAAATAGCATAATTCCTTCAAAAATATCTCAAACTAGGAATTTTACTCACTATTTCTATATGGTAGATTCTCAATAAAAGAGGATTACTTAAAATTAAGCTAAGTTGCAACGAGGATTCTATATTTCTATTCCAATAAAATCAATAAGCTCTATCCTTCATACTGTTTGATTCCATATTTATGCTTGTACATTTTTGATGTGCAATTTATGTTCGAATAATGTATGGTAGGTAGGGGGTTAGGGTTTGATGACTCTAAATCATGTGAGAAAAAAAAATCCAAACTTCCTTCTGACATTAAATCCCTGTGTACTATCTCCTTTGGGCAAACATCATCTTCACAATGTGAAGGTATCACAAACTGCGTCTTATACCTTGACAACATGTGGCATTTTTCTTGTATCACTAAAGTTTGTATATGCAGCAATTTGATTGGATTGATTGAAGTCATCTGTGGTTTTTTTATTATTGTTAGATTTTATCAGAGTGTAGAAAGTGTATTTTGAGTTTTAGTTTTGAAAAGTGTTAAGGGTTCAATCTTGGGTTGTGTTTCTACTTTATTTTTGTTGAATAAATTACTGTTGATTTTTCAATTGAATATAATTCATTTCTAGTCCAACCAAGAAAAATAGCGATGGCCCATCATCGTAATACGCCCACCATTGTAATGGCAGCCAAGTCGTCCGGAAGGTTGACAAGATCTATCAATAATGAAATAATTCGAGAGTAAAACTTTCATACTGCACAAGCTTTTTATTGATTTTCATCAAGTTTCGTCTAACATTTGTCTTCTGGAGTTTTACGAGCTAAAGATTGAACAAATTTTGAAGAACAGGGGCAATAACCCATATGAGATATTTTTCGATTTTCTACTTTCAATAAGGTTTGGGTAATTCAACCAAGTTTCTTTAAAATCTGTTGAGAATTATGCCTTGAATGTGATTTCAAGAACAAGGGCAATAACTTTTTAGGTTTTTTTTAAATATCTATAGGATACATCATTGGGAAATAATAAACAATTTCACCACATTTCGTCTAAATCTGTCAAGAATTGTGCCTTCTAAACATTCCACAATTAAAAAATTTAACATAACAAGTTTTCAAGAACAAGGGCAATAACTCATCAAATATTTTTCTATTTGTCTGATTTTCAATAGGGTTCATGCTTAGGTTTTTAGTGTCAAATTAAGCAAACTATTAGATTAATTGGTGTTTCTAATGAATTATCATGTATTCTTAATCATATCATTATGTTCTTATTACATATATATTTAAGAGTTTTAACCAATCATAAATGTCCATGTAATTACAGTCTGGATAAACAAAAAAAGACTTTTTGACCATTCTTGATAGGTCACTCATTGGAATTCTGTTGGTAATTCACTTCTAATTTAGCTAATTATGAATAAATTATGAACATGTGAGACAAACTGGTATAAGTATTAGCATTTTCATTTCATAAATGAAAATAAGGGAACCCATCTTTAAGTTGTTATCCTTGTAAAATTGTTGCCTTTAGGTTTGGGCTAAGACAGACTGATAGAAAGAATTCTAGCAAAATTAACTTGTTATCTTTCAAATTTCTTTCTATCTTCTTTAAACTTACCTTTCAGTAAACTGTCTGGATAGTTATAGCCTCAATCTAGAAGAAAATATAAAACCCTAGGTAGAAACATTACCTCAATATCCTTAAGTTCTAGAGTAGATAAAATATATTCCTGGGTAACGTCTTTTTTCTTTAATACCATGGTAAAATCTCCATATTTCACAATATTATCGGGGCTGTCTGGCCAATAATCGTCACATTTAGACTGAAATAGAATTATTATCGTAGTTTAAAATTATTCAAATTCATGATGAACTATCTTCTGTTGTGTCAATGTAATTATTTTTTACATAAGTACTAAAACAATGTAGAGTCCAAGGGGGCATTAAAAAGAAAATAATGTAGAGGTGAAATTGACATAATGAGGAGGCAAATCGAGTTGAAAGAGGAGGTGGCCAAAATTATTCAAATTCATGACGCTCTATCTTTTGTTGTGTCAATCTTATTAAATGTTATATATGAAGACGAATACTGAAACAATGCAGGATCGCAGGAGGCATTAAAAAGAAAATCACTAAAGCAGAGGTGAAATTGACATAATTCGAAGGCAAATCAAGATGAAGGTGGAGGTGAATTTGAACAGATGCAGAGTGTAGAGACCAAAGATAAATTTTGTGAAACTTTGGTATACAATTGGTGTACCCTTAGTCATACAGGTTTGGGATATCAGATTTGACAGACAAAAACAAGACTTATGGTCTGGGCTAGAGAATGTTTTAGATTGAAATAAAATTGAATACTTTTCCAGGTTCATCCATTGCGTTCAGCATGACGATAACTCGTGATTGTTGTTCCCAAACCATTCTCCAGAAATCGTCTCTAGTGTTCGGAAGTGGTGCTTGTGTGGCGATGAACGCTTTATTCTCCTCTGGGTAGCCCTGAAATTTACATAATTATTCCTTATCTTTCCCTCAATAATAAAGCTAGGACCACGTCATGTACTCTTAAAAATTAAGTTTCTAGTACCAATGAATAACTACAAACATAATGAGGTTTTCTAAACTTTTTATTTTTTTCGGGGATACTGATAACATTAATTTTCACCATTCCAATTTTCAATCGGACGTCTGTGGTTTCTGCCATTCCATTTAAAGTTAGCGTTCTATGATGTCACTATATATAGGGACCTTTGTAATAGTGACGTCATAAAATGCATAGCTCAAGTGGAATTACAAGAATCACAGACGTCAAATTGAAAATTGGAATGGTGCAAATGGATGCTATCAGTGTCACCAATACATGTAAACAATATTAGAAAATCTCTTTGCAGTCTCTTTGAGAATTTGAACTTACAGTTATAAAATTAGCGTTGATATATTCTGAATGAACTTGGCTGACTTTTCTTTTTAAATTCACCCTGGTTTTAGGATCTGAAAGAAAATTACATCTTGTATTCTTCAAGCGATAACGTTTCACAGTAAATTATTTACATTTCTACACTACTATCACTACCTTCAATGAACCAGCTATGGAAACTGGCGTTTAGATTTTGATAAACTGTAGTTTGTCACATGACACTATGACATAATCCGTCAGTGATAAATTGCGTGTACACATCAATAATTATATGGAGATTAATGTTTAATTCTTATATATTGTAATCTCACAAGACGAGAAACATGTCAGATTCATTTGAGAATCAGCCAAAGAATCTGTGACAAAGATATTTTTTTTGTGTATCATGTTTTTGAAATTTTGGAAGATTAACACATGAACCTACTTGGTATAACATTAGAATATCTATTTTTATCTTCTGCTCCTTTTGGTACAGTTGATAATCTCGGCATATCATTTTTAATAGCCTACAAATAACACAATATATCTCATTAGTATTCAAATTTATGTACATAAATTAAGCCTAATTAATTTCCTTGATACTCTCTTACTGTAATAAGTCGACAATTTTTACTTACATAAAATTCTTCGTAAATTAATTCTACATCTTGACAAATATTGACCAGGCCAGCAAAATTGACAGCATTGGATAAAATACCCTAAAAATTAAATATATACTACAAGGGAAAGAAAAGGAACCAGTAGATCAATATGACTGCTGAACACAAAATATTCCCTCAGAAATTTAGAAGACTTGTTGAGTCACATAGTTGACCACTCCCCCCCCCCCCCCCCCCCTTTAAATAGTTTGGCGACCCTGAGACTATGGGCTAGTTACCTACCTGTTGGTTAATAACAGAACTACTTACATTATGGTTTATAAATCGCGTAATGTCGAGAATATCCAGTGCAGGATTAAACAGTCCACTATTCGGCCGAGCTCTTATAGAAGCCAGGGCTATAGTATCATTACTGGCCATAGAATATCTTCTTCTAGCGGCTACTCCTGTTAATATTCTAGTTTTACGATACCTTCTTCTTACCAGAATCTTAAATATAAAATGGTGACAGGTCAGGAACAGAAAGACTTGGTAGAAAAAAATCACACAAAATATACAATTTGATTTGATTTTGGCTAAAGAAAAGTGGTCATTTTGATCCGTAAACTGCGATGTGACACTATTTAAATTGGACCCTGATTTGATTGATCCTAAAATTGAAACAGACAGAATCTGTTCAGAACTCACCAATCTTCACCATAATGTCCCGTCTAGAATCACTGTTACAATAGTCTGTAATGTATTCAAACTTAAAGCCCCTTTGGAGTGTTCCAAAAGATATTTGTGTGTTTCAAAAACCTGGAAATGCACCAACCTGCAATATGATGACCCCAATACAACAACATCCACCTAATGTTGCTATGGTAATCGCTATGGTGATGCCAGGATCATTCCAAGGAGCCAACGATGGAGGGGAAGTAGGACCTTGTTTCTGGAACTTTTCATCTGCAGTGTTTAAAGTTACTCGAACTAACTGAAAAGAGTTTTGTACCTTGATTATGCTGCCAGAAAAATAGAAGTTTCACACTCAGTCCTTACTGTGCTAGTCATATCTAATGCAATAATATTTCTATTTGTTACTGGGCTCAAAAAGTAGCACATAAAGCTTTAATCATATCTTATTCTTTACTGGGCTGATGAAATTAATCTCCACACTTCAGAAAGAATGAAGGTTATCTTAAGGACATTTTTGACTTTAATTAACAATGGCTTTAGGGCTTTTATTCTGTAAAGTTGTGGTTAAATCATTGTGAAAAATGATTCATTGATTTAAATTGCTTCAGCAGAATGTTTTCAGAAAATAAATCAAAGATTGCTGTGAATTTTCAGGACATATATAAGTACCCCTATACCAAGTAACAAATCGATAGCTCAACGGGAAGGTCGAAACTGCAACAATGCCTACCTTGTCTTTAAAGAATGATTCATCATGAAGTCCGGTTTCAATAAACTGAGCACATTCCACCGTCAACAAACTGTCATATTCTCCCTCGAAATTCACGATATACAACTTCACAAATATATCTTTATCTTTCACCACTGGGATTTCGACACATAATTTGATTTCCTCATTCATGATCATAATCTGTTCTTCTTTAAAACTATTTTGATAGTTCTGTTCGAGAATTTCCACGAGTTCGTGCTGAAATGTCCGAACGTTCACACAGAACGTGTTCCAAGACATCCTCAGACGAACTGTTACAAATACTGGTGGAATGGTCTCCTCCGCTCTAGTGATGATTTGAACAGCTGGAGTTGTAGCTGTACCATTTGGTATACGATATGCAGGTCTGTTCGTTCTAGAAGTTGTCCGAGACGTTATGCTCGGTCTACCAGAGGAAGTTGTATTCACTTCGGATGGTGCAGTAGTAACTGTACTGGTCAATCCTCGAGAGGACTCTGTTGAAGATACTGAAGGTCTGGCTGCAGTGGTTCTTCTCCTTGATCCGTTGTCTCGTGATGATGTTTGGGGACTTTGTGTTGTGGCATTAGCTTCAATTTTGATGATAGTGGTTTGGTTCGTGGGTTGAAAAGTTGGAAACGTTATTGATTTTATGTCCTGTGTGGAGGTAATGGGAACCTTGGTTGTAGTCCCAATGAACCCCATCTGAAAAGTCGTTCTTTGAGTGGTTTGAGAGGCCAGTGTTGTCCTTCTTCTTGACCCATTATGATGGATTCGTTGTGAAGATTCTTGTGACGATGCTGTTGGGGACCTTGGAGGTGCTGTGGAAGGTTGAGGTGTACTCTGGGATATAAAGACAAAGGTTCTTTGTCCTTTGGGAATGTATTTTGATCTTTTTGTTGTTGGGGCTCTTTGAGTGGTCGTGCTAAAAGGAGCTGTTGATCTAGCAGCAGTTGTTTCTCTCTGTGTCGGGCTCTGGGAAGTGGTATGTGTTCCAGTGGTAGCCCTTTCAGCTGTGGAAATTCTAGAAGATGGTCTTGAAGATACTCTTTCAGTCATGGGAAACAAAATTTCGGTCCCAGCAGTTGATGCTGTGGTTTGTTCACCATTGGGAAAAGATATTGGAAGTCTTTTCAGAGTCGTGGCAATTGTGGTTCTTTGTGTCATTGGAATTAAGATTTCTGATAATGGCATTGAAGCTGTAGTGGTAGATTCAACATTGGGAACTCTTTTCAGAGTCGTGGCAATTGTGGTTCTTTGTGTCATGGGAACCAAAATTTCTGGCAGACTTGCTGATGTTGACGTTAAAGAAGTCGTGTTTGGAATTTTAACCGTCTGTAAAGTCAGAGGAGTAGTGGTACTTTGTCGTGGAGATGTATCTGTTAGTCGTGTGATCTGAGAAGAGGGACCAGCTCTCCCATTATTGATGACTAAGCCTGTTGCATCAGTGGGAAGAGACCCGATGGCTGTTCGGGAAGGAGAGATGCCTGTTGAAGAAACTTGAGTTATCATAGTGCTTTGGTCCCTCGGAAATGTTGAAGTGGAGGCTGCAAATGGTCTAGTCATCAAGCACAAAAGTCCACAACTGGACTCAGCTGTTTGTGATTTTGAATCAAACAATATTGGAGTTCTCGCAGATGAAGCAGTAGCTTCAAGACTATCAACAGAAGACCCACTTGCTTCCAAATGACTTGATAGAGGAGAACTCAAGTTCTCTGGATTATGTGGAAGACCAAGGTCTGGGCTACTTTGGACCGAACTTGATGAAGATGTTCTTGAAATTAGAGATGCTAAAGAAGGTTGAAGATGTTCCAAAGATGATGGGAATTCTCCAGAACTGGATTTGATCTCTGGAGCAACATCAATTCCATGACCGTCTCCTGCAATTCCTGGACTAATCTCGTTCCTTTCTTCAGTGGGAATCACAATTTCTGGATGATCAGGATTTGAAAGCATTTGCGGAGGTGGAGGCGTTTGGGCGTGTCCCATCTCTCCACGATTTCCACCGTCCTGCGTTAAATTGAGGGAGGTTGGCGTTGGGTTTATGCGTATTTGAGGAGTTGCTGGTACGATTGCTTGAAGTCTGACTGTCGGGTTTGGGTTGATGACCTCTGGATGATTATTTTGATGATGATGAAGGAATTCTGGGGTTTCGTGAGGCCCATTGTCATTGTGAGAGGCTTCGTGCTGTGCTTCCTGCTCGTGGACTATATCTGTACCTCCTGAAAATAGAATTATCGTAAAAGCAATACGTAACACTGGGTCACATAACATACAACTTAACTATTAAAGAGATTGTAAAAAGGTTTTCTAAATCTTTTAAGCTTATCGGGGACACTTATAGCATCAATTTGCACCATTCCAATTTTCAATCAGACGTCTGTGGTTTCTGTAATTCTATTAAAACTAAGTGTTTTATGACGTCACTTAAACACTTAGTTTTAATGGAATTGCAGAAACCACAGACATGGATTGTAAAGAGGGTTTCTAAACTTTTTATGGGCATTTGATTACACTGTTACAATCGATTTACACCATTTAAATTTTCAATCGCAGACGTCTGCGGCTCTTGCTATTCCTGTAAGCTAAGCGTTTTATAACCCACTATCGCAATAGATACGACTATTAATGTATAAGGACCTTTGCGATAGTTACTCATTAAATGCATAGTTTAAGTAATTATTCGGAATGATTTGTAAAGAGTTGGTTTGTAGAGATGGTTTATTACCTGATTCAGGTTGGTGATTAAAATTAGCGTTGAAATCAGGTCGCATTCTACCAAAAGCTGGTGATGCTTGTTCAGCCTGGCATACAGACCACAGTAATATTACTGTCACTACCCACAATCCTACAAGTTTACGTTATAGTTAGATCATATCAATGTAAAATCTTCATGATCAGGAAATTGGAGGAGGGAGCAAAGCAACCAAGGTGACCATTGATAACAATGTTTAAAGTAGGGAAGGTGGGACGGGGTGGGGGGTGGCTGGGGTTGTCCACAGCCCTGCCAACCTTAGTTCTGGGGGAAATGCCACTGTACACCAAATGAAAAAAGCTGTATAACCTGATTGATAAAATCTCAAGAAAGCTCTCAACTTACCCTTTCT